GATACCTCCGGAAGGGAAGCATAAAGCGATGGCTAATTATAATTGCATTCTTTCCTTCAATCTGCAAGCTCTTGTGGACATTTACCTTTTGAGTGTTTTCATTGTTATCTGGAGAATAACCCAATGATACATAGAGCATAATTGGTTTCGGTCTGTGCCACTTGATTTCCAATTTGCAAGACCACGAGTCTCCACTTTTGAGAGCAGGAACGGAAACCAATCCAAAAGACTGTTGAATTTTCTTGATTTCATCAGCGTTCAGTTGGGATTCATCTCCTCCGTCCGGTCCAGAAATACCAAGAAGTTCAACATGATGACTATCCGTAGATAGATCCGTGTCCCTTGGACTAAACAAACCACCTCCCCTTACATCCACCAGATTGATTTTCAACTCACCAGAATTAACATCATGGCCCTTGGATGTAACAGTAACAGGTACTATGAAGCTCTCTCCAGTAAGTGCAGGGCCGGCAGACCCTAAACTAAGATCCACTTCTGGGTCTGACTCTTCAACCTGAGTAGCCTTCTGACCAGAGAATGCCAGAGCAGGGTCCTTGGTTGGATAGGTGACCATGCGATCTTCAAATTTCCAAAGAGGCAATTCATCCATTGAAGCAGGACTTTCAGCTCTGCAAAAGATTGTGAAGTGGGGTCCTATTTTTGCAATAACAGATATGCATTCAAGCTTTCCGCTTTGATCTGAATAGTCAGAGAATTGTGTTACAATCAGATAATAATAGGAGGGCATGATAAATCTATCAATACTATCAACAAAATGAATTCCTGGTACTCAAAGGACGAATGCAATAATTTAATAATCAAGCATAAAGCAATGACGGAAACTTTTAAGTTTTCTAAGCTAGCCTAACTCAACCCAGTTAAATTGCTGGATGAACCAGATGGGGCATCCACAACTAAGAGTTGAGCTTCAATCACTTACAATAGAGTACATCAAACTCATGTTATATGCTAATTCAATGATGCATAAGGCTATTTCTACCGCATGCATATCTAAATGAACCTAAATGCATAATCTGAACATTGACAAGTGCAGAAAAGAAACTTTGTTTACCAGATTTGATGTTATATGTCAATCGCAGCCACTTATTTGTAGAAAGTGCCAAAGAAGGAGCAGTCTCTACTCGGCGACCCGGTTGGCCATCACTCATGTCAGCTACATGAGGCCTTTGGCCATTCATGATCATGAAGTTACAGTCAGACTGATTGAACTGGACTTCTAACTGATCAATCTCGAAATTAAGGGGTAACTGTGACAGAAGTGACAGCGTAACCAATGTGGATGAGCCAGGCTTAATTATTTGTTCATGAAAAGCAACTGAAGCTAGAAGTACCAATCTGAGGGGACTGACAAGATCAACTTCAAGGTGAAGTGGACTTTCACCAGATACTTTCAGATCATTACCATTTTCAGTTGATGCCAATCTCAGTTCTCCACTAACAAGACCAAAAACTTCTTTGTGTATTGTTTCTCTTTGTTGGAGAGTCGCAGGCCCAGCTGGACCAGATTCTTCAAATCGGAAAGACTGGATACCAGTATCAGCTGATATAGGGAGCGCAGCCATTTCAAAGGAGTACTCCATAAAATCTTTAACTTTACTCTGTCTCTTTGAACATTCACGCAGATAACCCAATACCTCCCACAACAAAATGACCCAACCCTCTTGTCTGTATAGACTTGCAATGTCATCAAAAAGCTGTTTCGCATTGCTAAAATCACCTAGAGCATAATATTCTCTAGCCATCTGGAATCCACAAAATGAGCCCATTCTCCTGACTTTGCGATTATTGTATGATTCACAAGATTTTTTTAGTAAAGCAATAATTTCAAAGGAATCTTGGAACCTTTTTCCTTCAGAAATAGCATAACGCATGTACTCTTCATCAGTAAGGCTGCAAGTTGAATTAAACTTTGTTAGCTTTAGTAAGAGAATCAAACAAGTCAAGAAAAAAAAAATTCACAGTATTGATCAACACTTACGGTTGCATGACAAATGTATCTCCTTGCTCAATCAAGCGAGCAAACTGACCCAAATAAGACGAAGGTACCACAGATTCAGCACTGCAATCAATATCACCTTCTGACATTGAAACTGCAAATTCCAAAGAAGATCTCTTCTCCTTCAAGTAATGAGCAGCTAACTGTGTGAAGAATAAAGTTCTTTGAATCAACAGAGCGGAAAGTATAATCTGTCTAATTAAAGCTAACAAACTTTTAATCAATCATTCTACATAAAATGTTGGTATAGTATGGGTTAATTAGACAATCTAATTTGGTAGAACACTGTAAGAATACTGTCCGGGCAGCAGCTGCTTTGAGTAGAATGAAAATGAAACAGTACGGATGGAACTCAAAAAACTGATTATGGAACTTTAAGGTGATATATCACGCCATTCCTTGATTTGGTAAAATATTAGGATGGTAAGCTCACCTGATAGTAATGAGCCGGCTGAAGTTCCCACTCAGTCAAAGGTCTGTCTGCTGTGCCTACGGGAAGAGGTGAAATGCTTTGAATGGCTGTTGAACTCGTCTCCAACAATTCAGCAAACACCAAGAACTGTCTACCCATCCACTCCCAGTGAAGAAATATAGCTTCTGGTGCTCCTATGAGCTTTCTGTATGAAGCATTGTGCTGGCGGAACCACACAACTGCTTCGACAATCTTCCCACCATGCAATAACAAGGTTGAAATTTTAAAATGCAATTGCTCCGCAATAGTTTTTATCTCAACTAACCGTTGAATCGCCGACACACTAGTTGATGCCCCAGCAATTAACTGCAAGCAAATTCAAACATAATCTCAACAACATTGAACAGGTCGAAAGTTACCACCCATGACATATCTTTGATGAAAATCCATACTATTGGCATTGTACTACTGGGTTCGGATTCTTGGGAAGCTACTAACTAACTCGAAAGACCAAAAAAATGTGGAAAAGCACAATAAAGGATACCTCCCGAAGGGTGTGATAAGCATCCTCATAAAACCTCAAAGCTTCAACCCAATCTCTTCTGAACTCAGCATACACAGCAACCTACAAAATTCATGAAATTGAATTGATACATACATTATCATCAGAAAGTCGAAAACCGATACAGATTCAGCTAGTGATCAAAAGACAAATGTTCCAGCTTGAACTTACTTTGAAGGAATAGCGAATGTTGAGGTCAGCCGGATTGGAAGACTTCCTCTCAATGCGAGCTCTAACCCTTCGTCCTTCGTCTCTGTAATACAATCCGGCCAGCTCTGCAAACACGCTTCCCAGTCTATGGAGAGACTCTTTGAACTGAGAACCATCGCTGCCGCCATCTGGGTTGCGGTAAAACGTGAGAAGATACTTGGCATCCACCTCCGCGCGCTTCCGCACAGCCACCATCTGATCCTCCGAGATTTCATCTGCACCAAATCGAACCCAACAAAATTCAAAATCCAATCTTTTCAAGGCCCAATTAAATCCACCTTACAAATTTCGAGTCCCGGAGTTTCCGACCGCTGGGATTGGAGTAGACGACGACGACGACCAGCTTGATGTTTCTGCCGCGGAGGAGGGCTTTGAGGCCGTCGAGGTCGGAGCAGAGTTGGAGCCACTGAGCCGGGTCGCCAGTGACCCGATCCGATGAGAGGAGGGCGGCGACGACGGCGGGGATTTTGGTGCGGTGCTTGAGGAGCCAATCTCGCTTTATTATTCCGGCGGGTGGAGGGGCGGAGGAATCGGAGGAGGGAGTGGAAGTAGGGTTGGGCTTTGGGGGTAGGATGAGTGCGGCCTTGGAGAGGTCGGGCAAGGCGAGGGTGTTGATTGGTGGGGAGAGAGAGTGGAGGTGGGCGGAGATTGAGGTGTGGAGCTCCGGGCATCCCACCACTGACACCAGGCTCACCGGCGGACTCCTCATTTCTTCTGGGTAGTCTTCCATTTTCTCCGATTTTCTCTTCTGCTTCCTCTTCAGTTGGTTTTTACAGATGCAAATCTGAGAAATGGAATAACGAGGACGACGATGCTTGGGGTTGAAGCATATGAGATTTGAGGTTATTGGGCCTTACTACAATTACCTTTTAGTTTTGGGCTTCTACCCACTCACACCCAAGATTTTGATAAGCATATAGAGATTCTCAAAATTCAGAGTTCTAATCTATAGTTTTTCGAAATGTTCTAAACCTTTTTTTTTTTTTTTTTTTTCTTTTCAAAAATGAGATCTGGTGGCCAACATGTGTTGCATAAGAGCACTGTTCTAAAAACTCATCGTCTAGTTCACGACTCTCATTAAGTATAAAATAGATAACCTTATTTTACATTTTATATTTTTTTCAATATACTTAGAGACTTATTGAATATTTAGATGATCATACGTTATATGTTTTTTCTCTATATTTTTATTATATTCTAAGGGCTCATTTGGATGTGCTTTTAAAATGGCTAAAAGCGTTTTTAGAGAAAATATTTTTCTGTACCAAAAGCACATTAAGTGCTTTCTATGTGCTTCTTCCAGGAAGCATTTAAGTATTTTTTTCAAGATTTACTTGCATTTTTACTAAGGATTGGTTCCAAAAACATTTTTACCAAAAGCGCTTTCAGTTATTTTAAAAGCACATCTAAACGAGCTCTAATAATTTAGACCTATATGTCATTTTATATTGCAATTTATGTATCTCAATGCATTGTGTATTTTTTTTATGCACTTAGTTATACAATAAATGATAAATTTACTTAAATCCGCCTAGTTTACCAAGACCCCTGCCTAGAGGCCTAGCCCCAGCCGGCAACCCGACCATCCCTTTTAGAACCTTGCATGAAGAAACCACACAGTACTACCATCAAGCCATATAACATAAAGGTGTGACAATTGCACTCAAAATCGTTTAGATGACGGATTTTCTCCCGCAAACATGGATGTCATTTATATTAATCTCACACCAATAAATAATCAAACCAAATAGTATAAAGAGGAAGAAGAAGCTGAAGCTTCAATATTAGCCAAAGGAAAATGACGAAATGCGGATTGAATAGACAAATTCAAATTGAACAATGACTTTTTCTGCTGAATACAATGTGTGAGAGAGACTAGACAATTGACTGTGAACCCATATGTTGGGTCCCAAGTCCCTGAAACGAATCGTATTTGATTCTTTCTTTGATACAGGGGAGGGTTTAGGGTTATTTACACATTTACATTCTTATTACGCTGTAGCAGCCGGAAAACCATATTTCCGGCAAACAGCAATGACCCATAATATCGCGCCAAGCGGCTTTCAGCCACGTGGCACAGCAACGGCATATTTTACAGACACCACCAGGTGAAAAAGCAACAACCCATGATGCTCTTCCACCCTCCTAACATCTAACAGCTGACTTTGCAGTATCTCTGATGACCACCATGAATGACCTGCAATGGTTAAACATATCATACATATTTAGAAGATTTTATAAACCAGAAAATAAATTTAAAGAAAAAAACAATGAGGGTATTACTTGATACAATGACAAATGTGTGTATATACATATATATGTATGTATATAATATTAGGTCCCATGTACTTTGATCCCTGATTTCCTGGTTATAGAAAAAAGCCCTGTTTCAGATGTGGCTAAAAATCCCCAAAGTTGGGAACTTGCTGGCTTCAGTCAGAATTAATAGGAAAAAATCTGGGGTGTCAACGGGTGTATACACACGTGTGTCACTCTTTCTCATCACGAACATGGTGCCAACGCACTATGACGGAACCTCTCTAAATAATAGAGCTAAAAGTAAACTAATTTCAGGTCAAAGATGATAAAGCATCATTATCCATTCCAAACACTGCTAAACCCTTGTTGCATTGCAGAATGTTAAATTGCAATTTGTCATAAGTTCATAAGCTACTATTCTGTGCTAAGAGTAAAATCTTATTTTATAAGGGAAAAGCAGGTGTCACCTCTAGAAAGCAAAGATAATAACTTGCAAGGCTAGATTTAGAGCCTGCCACTTAGGTAGCAGTAACTTCTCTTAGTCCTGCTGCAATCTAAGGATTACCTGCATCCCCGACAAAGACAGATGTCCAGTATAATTACACAGATATGATTAATAAAAAGGTTGTCAATGTGACAATCTCTACCTCAAGATGTGACCTTTCTGATTTACCACTCAACCTGCAGTTTGATCGGAACCACTGGTGAACTGAGGAGAATTAGTAGGAAGCATAATCTGCGTGTGTCCTGGAGCTGGTGCAATTATACCTGAGAAAACCAGCAAACCAGAATCACTGATTTTACACTCGAACTATTTAAACTGCATACCACTTCCTGCCAATTTCCATCAGTGCGGCAATGTTGTATGATCATATACATGTTTTGCAGAAAAAAGAAATAGGGTTTGCAGGCATAGCGTACAATATGAGTTACCATAAATCAGGAAAAATTTAAGATTTTCAAGAGAAAATACTGATAAAGTTTTAAATTGCAATGAAGGTGTGTTATCATCTTTGTAAATGGGAAGAAGGGTTTTGGGAAGAGAATGTTGCCTGCAGGATATGGTGTTTGAATCGTCGGAATGGCAGCTGGGGATGCGGCACCGACATTGGAGCCGCCAAATTGCATTACATGATGACCTGGAACTCCATAGTTTTGAACCGTTGCATACCCATGACTCCCGGGGAGTGAATGACCCAATTGTCCATATGAATATACGCCAGGGTTAACGGTGCCTGGTACCCCATATATCTGAAGGTACTGCTGCTGAGTCATGTAAGGACTGTAGGCACCCTGGCCAAAGTTGATGAACAAAAAACGGTAACAGGACAAGTCAGCTTTCCAATAATCAAGCATTGTTCTTATACTCTTCAATAGCAAATAAAAGCTTTGTAACAACATATTAAAATAATGACCTGTGGATAGACAAATTCAGGTCCATATCCTGTGTACCTGCAAAACAGAAATTGATGAATCTCTTGAAATCATATAGCCAAATGGAGTTTCCACGTTGTATGGAATTCAAGCTTCATCTCACGCTTTTCCAAGATGGGCACTGGTTAAGTGTCAGAAAAACAATGGGAGTACAACAAGTAACTACGACAACTCAAAACTCTTAGATCCTTTAGCAGAAGAGATGAATACTATAGCACAAGCATAAAAGCTACAAAGCAAATTAAACAACATAAGATTTTCATTATAATGTGATTTTATGCATTTGCACAGCTTAATGCTAGTTAGTTACTATGTGGTCAAGCATATCCCACCCAGCATTCAACATACAGTAAACGATGACATTCACTAACGTTTCAGTCTTAGGTACCTAAAACAATTACTTGATAGCTCAAATTCAGAAACGGGAATGCTCAGGAAATGGTTGGCGAGAAAAACACTCGATCAGATAATTGTCGTGTGTTCAGGAATGAAATGTTGCCTCTTGCAGTCAAGACAAAAGGAGCCAAATTGCATAAGCTCCAACACCCAATTGGCCTCAACCGGTAAGCTTGAGAAGATAATCTAAAGTCAAGAGCTTTCTAAATTAGAACTCACCCATAAGATGGGTACACGAACCCAGGGCTGGTAACCATGAGGAATAGGGTGGTGGTAAGCAGGGTTGGGGCTTCCCATGTAAGCAGCTCGAGGCGGTTGCACACGACCGAGGATTGGAGCTGGTGATCTCAATTGCCCTGCAATCAAATCAACCAAACCAACAATTTCGTAGCAAATCAAGCATTAGAAAAGCAGTTCCTAAGTACCCAATAGAGCAAAAATGCAAGGAAAACAAATACAAAACGAGAATTAGATTAAAAATATACCATGAAAAGGGAAAGGTTGGCGGGGACGACCCAGAGAGGCAAGATTGCAGTTGGCTCTGCGGCCATCGATCAGAGGATTGGGATCCAAACAAGCCCTTCTTGCAAATTCGGGATCACGAAATGTGACCTAAACCCTCCAAACAAAAACAACCCAGAAACAAAAAAGCTGATTAATTTCAAATTTATCAAAATTTGATCAAATGTTGATATTTTTGGGGAAATTAAGGAGAAGGGTTAGTGGGTACTGACAAAGCCATAGCCTTTGGATCGGGCGGTGTTCTTATCGGTGATGACGACGGCCTCGAGGATGTCGCCGAACTGCTCGAAGTGACGTCGTAGAGTGTCGCTCTGGGTCTCCCAGGCCAGCCCCCCCACGAACACCTTCGTCAACGTCGTGTCCCCGAACGGGGAATTGAACAGCTGCCCACCTCCTTGCTGTTGCTGCTGCTGCTGCTGGTGGTAAGCCATATACACACAAACATAGAGAAGGGGGGGAAAGAGAGAGAGAGAGAGAGAGAGGATCAGGGAAGACGACGACTGAAACAAAAGGAAAATCTTCAGAGTCACGTGACAGACACGTGGACCCAGAAGGCGCTGAGCTCCATGATCTTCTGCTCTCTACCTTTTGCTTTCAGAAACCCTACCCCTACTTACTGACCTAGTAGTGGACTCTACAGAAACACAAGTAAGTCTGAAAAGTCGTAAACAGAAAGAGACAGAGTTTATGAAGAATTGAGATCGGATCAAATCAGAATTTTGAAATTGAAATTAACCCAATTCGATTCGAGGACTGTAAAGCAAGACCCAGAAGGGGATTCGTAAAAAAAGGCGCCGTGATTTGGAATTTTGGGATTTTTTGGAGGGTAAACAGCTGCAGTGAATTGCCGGGCATACGACTGACACCCAAAGGTCGTGCTAATCATTCGATCGCGCTCAGGCCCTGAGAAATATGGCTGCTTAGCTGTTATTTTTAATTTCCATCAACTTCCTTTTTCTTTTCTTTTTAAAATAATCCACCCGACATTTTCATCACTCATTGTTATTATTCTCATCAAATACTATTTTATTTTCCTCTTTTAGAAGGGGAACCCACCCCAAAAAACAAGTGCTCAATCAATAAAATGAAATAAGATTTTCGTTTTGAAAGGTTTCTTAATGCGAAGAACAAACCGTTGTAGACATATATGAATATGTTTTTAGAATGATTAAAAATGTTTTTGGCAAAAGTATTTTTTTGTTTTAAAAGCAATTTAAGTATATATTTTAAGAAGCATCAAATATGTGTTTATTGCACGAAACACTTTAAAAATATATAATTAATAAACAAACACACACAAGTTATAATATACGTGAATTAATGATGATATTGATATTAACGATTACGTGAGAAAAGCTTTTTGCTATTTTGGACATTCGAGAAACAACATAACTAATATTTAATGACCTAAAATATAATATTTAATAAAAAAATACATGTGTTAAAACACGAGTGAATTGATGCTATTATGCCTATAAATGCAACTATGACAGTAGAAAATAACTATTCCCTCTATGGAAAATTCATTCGGTTATAGCAGCTAGCAAAGGCGGTGCCGGTCGAGCATATAAAATGTCAAAACTTCAGGTGAATATGCTCTGAATTAATTAGGCTTAGTTTTCTGTACTGGATAAACATGCTACGTGTCCGTCGGGGAATTAAGAATTAACAATTAAGAGCTCTCTCTCTCTCTCTCTCTCTCTCTCTCTCTCTCTCTCTCTCTCTCTACTTTGGTGATAGAGACGCTCACAAAAACAAAAAAGATGATGGAATACATGAAGGCTTGCTTACTGTGCACGGTTCAATTGTTTAACCGTGACTTATTGTCGAAGAACACATCCAGAACAGTCACTCACATCCATTACAACACTGCCGTACAGATTGCTATTTATATGTTTCGATTTATTATTAGAAAATTTTACCGAAAAACTTCTGATACTGTTCATATTCATTTTAATGAAAAATTATATTTTTACACTAAAAAGTTAATCATGATACTATTCATTTTATCATTTATTTTATCGTTATCTTTAAAACTCAAATTTTTCAAATCTTTTTCATTAGTTTATTTATTTATTATACGGTAGGATTGCAGACTTTGCTAAACAGCATCAACATCGAACTCAGTGGTTTGGATGTATAGGGATTTCGGAGGGGATCCCAACAAGGGTTGAAAACAAGGACAGCGGAAGTTAAGAAACTTCCTTCCCCTAGGTGACGCGCTGCTCGTGAGGAAACAGTACCGAAAAACACATGCATCCATCGTTTGACGTTCTTAAAGAAAGCGTAAGAGGTATCAACTCATAATACTCATTTAGCGTTTGCTTAGTAATTATATTGTTCTTGAAATAAATAAAAATCTAACGTAGATACTCACGAATTATGCGCTGATCCATCATATTGTTGATATCTTAAATCTTATAATACGTGATAGGAAAAACATAGCTACCACATTTAGTCCACTTTGGATGGAACTTAGAACAAAACACGTTTGGGTGGAACTTGGAAGACATCACCATCATATGTTTGGAAGATGAATTATCGCACATCGAGTCTCCAATCTTTTTTCATCTTGTTTCGAAAATCATGATAAAGTCTTCAATCTTCATCAACTATCGTGATTTTCAAACCCGATCCAATTAAAGATAAGCCTATATGTGTACATGAGCTTGGATATCACTTCTCCAACTTGGACTCTTACGTGGGCTTGGGATATGTTACGACTTCAACCAAACTGACGAGGCCCAATCAGTATCATCTTGTCCCAGGAAACTCGGAGGATTTTGGACGTATTGGGTGGATAACCCAAGTGCAGTTAGTTATTTATATGGCACATTTACTTTATAGGAAAGAGAAAAATATTAAATCGGAGAACTTTGAAACAGAGGAAGTAAGGAAAAGGAATCGATTAACTACGGAGACTAGCTGATTCAATTACTAATTTTCAGGTATATATTTTATTATAAATTTTAACGAAAATTTCCCATTTTTATACTCTAAATGTATTGTTAAAAACAAGAAAAGTAAGAAAGTAAACGCAAATAACTCAATAATCAAAATGATTTTAATTCTAATTCATGTGAGCAAACATATTATTAACCTATATTGTAGACATGTAAATCTAATAAGAAAAAAGAGAAAATTTGTTCTAAAAAATAAAAAATAAGAAAAAAGAAAAACATAACCCTAGCAATTGGCTCAGTGCTAAGGGTACGGACTATTGCTCTCCAATAAACAAAAAAAACATGGGAGGTCCCAGGTTCGATGCTCCAAGTCACTGAGTCTGCTTGGTTGTGGTCACGGGTAGGATGAAATTACCTATAACCTCTCCAGGCCTGGAAAGAATGGATAATCGTGATTTGTCACTACTTCTCCCCCTTTAAAAAGGGATAAGAAAAAATGAAAAACATTTTATTAACGTTTAATATTCATATATGTTCATAAAACGTTTTCCCGATCATCATGTGTGCTTGCTTATTATTAAACACGTTTTGAATGCCATGCACGACCATGGGTAAGCGCAATCCATCCAAAAATTGAAGGAAAAATACGTTTATGTTCCTAGCAGTAGTGACGAACAGATTCAGATTTATACATATACGTTCACTTCAAGCCGTCAAAATCACATTTTAATTAATTAATGGGTAAATTATATTTTACCCCTTCAAGTTTGGGTTCGATTTTAATTTCTCACAACATCTTTAAAACATTTCAATTTCATACATTTACTTATTAAATTACATTTTAATTAATTAATGGGTAAATTAAATTTTACCCCCTCAAGTTTGGGATCGATTTTAATTTCTTACAAGATCTTTAAAACATTTCAATTTCATACATTTACTTATTATTTTATTTAAATTTCATACATTCGTTCGAAAATCTGTTAAGTAAACCGTTACGTGATGACGTAACAAATATGGGATCCACATTTGTCCTGACATGGTTGCCAAATTTGTACCATATGGCAAACAAAATAATTTTTTATGCATTTAAAATATTATAATAATTTACCCTATTAAAAAAAAAAATAATAATAATAAAAACCCAGAAACCCATCCACCTCCATCTCCTCCACTCTCTTCACCTCCCCTCCCATCAAAAAACCCACCCCACCCCTACCTCCCCTGCAACCCCCCCCCCCCCAACCCCTATTCTCCCTCCCGAGCCTCCCAACTTCATGTCCATCTTTCTCCATCACCACCACCTATCTCATACAACTACAATGTCAATCCCCTTCCCACCGGAGCAACCATCTCCATCTCCTTCATCCTCACAGCCACACTTGTTCATCCATAATCCCTAACCATCTCCCATCCCCCATCACCCACCCTTTAAGACGCCAAACTGCTCAACCCACCTAAAGAATTGGAGGGCGTGCTCCCAGTTCCGAGTGGCGGCTACGGTTGGTGCTGCAGCTTCGAACTGTGGCAAATTCCGTTGAGATGAAGAGGTGGAGGTGCGCGAATGCTTGAACATTGGAGGGTAGAGGCCGCAGAAGTGATGGGGGAATTTATTAAGTGTTTAGCCACGTAGCACAAATGTGGCGGCAACGTCAGCACAAATGGGGACCTCATATTTACCATTTCATCACTTAACGGTTTACTTAACAAAATTTCTAACGGATGTATGAAATTGAAATAAAATGATAAGTAAATGTATGAAATTGCAATGTTTTAAAGATGTTGTAAGAAATTGAAATCGACCTCAAACATAAGGGGGTAAAATATAATTTATCCTTAATTAATTAATGAACTAATTTACATAAGCAGTAGAAATTAACAACACGTACGTACTAATTAGTTTGCATGCCATTAATTCACAGGCACGAGTTAAAAATTAGGTCTTGATTATAATATCGCTCGATGATGGCTTTTCTTCTTTGTGACTTTCTAATTATATGACTCGTACTAACTAGCTCTTCGTTTAATACGTGCCTAATCGTCTCAAATGTTATAATAAATCACAACTTTGAATCCCCTCCATCTATTGTAGATTGAAAATGGTTAAAAAGGATCGAAGATGATACTGTAAAAATTAATAAATTTAGGCAAAACAGTATGTTGAAGAATGCTAGAACTGTGCATGTGATTAGATTGAGACATTATCGATATAATTAATAGTGAACCACTGATTCCACTCTAAAATCTTAACAAGATATACCAAATATCAAGTACATAGGGCCTTTCGCCTTAATTCTATCTTACCTAGCACGGTATGTTTATATTGATGTTTAAGAAAATTGTTGTACATGGTGTTCAGGCTAGATCTGTCCCTCGCACAACTCTCTTGGGTCTTGCTTGTCGAGCAAGGTTTGCTGCTTGATGTACTGCAATATGAGTTTATTATTAGTTTGAATCGTGCCTTTGTAGGACCTTTGTTAGGCCTTGAGGCTCTCAATCAAAACTAATATGGGTCTGAGCATGCCACCGTTATCTTTGTATAACAGATTGTTTTTTTTTGGTTATTAAATGGACTGATTACTTGCGCCACAGGTTTTTTAGACTTCTTAGTTGGATTATTTACAAATGGGTTAAGTCTATATAAAGTTCTTTTTCTTGCCTTGTAAACAAGGATTTTTACTCAGAATATCATATGTCCAATTAAAGGGAGTTCAAGGCCCTTCAAATTATTTCTCTGGTTATAGTTTTAGGTTAACAATAAAGAAGCAATGTTAATTAGCTTAGCAAGATTAATCATAGATGAAACTTTGAATGAAAAGCATTCGAAAATGATATAGGATCCATTGAAAAATGCATAAATAACAAATTTACTTTATGTAAGTACAAACAAAAGGAGAATTGGGCAAGATTATGACCTTGTTAGGCAATGTTCGTCTTCTTACAACCACTTCTCTTTGTGTTTTACAGGGGTGGTAATCTTTGGAGAATGAAATATAAATCGGGTTTACAAACTAAAGAGATTCGATACTACAACACAGGGAAAACGTAGTAGATCTTCTCACTACTACAATATTAGCTTT